CGGATGTATTCAGATTTTTTGGAACTCTTATATTGTTAAATTAACCGATTTATGTTGTAATCTTTACTTGCCAACTCTTATGTTCTTTTATTAAAATTAAATAACCATATTCGTAATCAAATTTAATTTATTAATAGTTAAAAACTAAAAAAATAATTAAGGAAAATAAAGATGAATCAACCCATCTAAACCAGATTAATTTAACCCAAACCAATGTTAACTCGTTTCCCAAAAGATCTAACCCACCTGTTTTACCACCTCTCATATCAACCCATTTTGACCTTATTCAAACCCGTACAAATTAGCATTAATAATTTTTGTTGCACTTTTTGTTCTTATTGTGATTTTGATAGTCGATATATATATTTTAAAGAGAGATTAATAATACCTGTCAATTCTGTTCCTGAGCTTCAACAAGAACTTCTCGTTATCTTCATCCGCCACCTTCACAAGTCTATCAAGTAAATGTTGTCTCTGTTCAAATCCAAGATTATTGATATCAACTTCATTGGAAGGTCCTGTTGATCCAAAGAGCAAACCTTTCCTCAATCGATCAAAAGTCGGTAGCTTCTCAAGTGAAGCCCATTTAAGAGCCTCTTCGTCATCTTCTTCACGAGAAGATCTCGAAAACACATCCATACCAGAATTCCTCCATACAGAAGTACTTCCAGATCTTAAACTTGGTGTTCTTCCACTTGCTGCCCTTAAACTCCCTAACCTTATACTACTACTAGCTTTGTATATATCACTCCCGTCCATTTCCAGGCGCGAAATCAACTGACCCTAATCAAAACCCTCAACTTTTTGCAAAAACTATCCAAAATTTTTAACTTTTTAAAGGAAATCCTTGAATCCCTAAAAACCGATAAGCTGTATTGAGCTACTTCCGAAGAAATGAACTCCACTTCCCCGAAAACAACTGAAAATCGAAATGGATTTTGACGATATCGTAAAGAAGAGTATGGTGTCTGAAATGAAATGGGTTTTTTAGGGTTTTCGCAGACGGGTGTTGGAAGAACGGTTTCGAGTATGATTTAGGGTGCAAAGAAACAAGGGATTGTTTATATATGAGGAGAGATGGCAAAATGGCGTTGAAAATAAGTTTTATTTAATTGACGAGGGGTTGAATTTTGAACGTGGTTGAGGCGGTTGATCACCAATGTTCGTTCAACATGCGTCACGCTATTTCAGGCTCGACTACATCATAACATACCTTATCTCAATGAATTATGAACTATGAACGACAGAAAAGATTTAATACTTTTTTTTTAATCAGAATTTAAGTTTCATAATAAAGATTTACATAGACGTAGCGGGTAAACGAGCAACAACCTATGTCGCAGTTTTTTTTGGATGATAAAACTAATTCTTTTAAAAACAACATCTATAGATCTTGGAGTCATAACAACCTATGTCGCAGCCCCTTTTGGATGATAAAACTAATTCTTTTAAAAACAACATCTATAGATCTTAGAGTCATAACATTACTATGTAGAGAAAATGAGTTATAAGCCCAACGAAATTTTCAAACCGTTCAAAAAACTCAATTATGTTTTGTCCGTTCAAGAAAACCCAATGAACTTAACCTTTTGTCTAAAAAGCCCAACAAACTTACACTTTCGTTCACTTCTCATTTAGGGTCAATCGGCTAATGAAAGTCAACAAATGACATGGCTGATGATGTGTAATTAAATATCGGAAAATTACTTGTAAGACAAATAAAGTTTCAAAACCGTTCAAAAAAACTCAATCATGTTTTGTTTGATGAAAAAAACCCAACGAACTTACGCTTTTGTTCAATTTTCATTAGAGTCAACCAGATTCATTAGATATACAACTAGTTAACAAATGACATGACATTATATTTAATGGCATGGAATAAACTGATTAGAATTGCCCTTTATATATCGATTTAGGGCTTGGAGAAGAGAAAAACGAACAACGTCTGTATTCGATCTCTTGTAATAGCTACTTCTTATTATTCCTCTCAATCCTTGATGTCCAACTCAAGATCTATAAAGAAGATGTTTGATGATGCAAACTCTTGTGGATATAGATGCCCTTTTTGGATTTAGACATCTAGAAAGGAGGATCATCAAGTGAAAAAAAGTTTAGTGCTTGTTAGAACAAAGTTCAGGGATTGTTCGAATAGATGGATAAGTGTAATTAAAAGCTTTATCATGTCAATATTCTATCTATTTGTGTGGTTTCTTTCAAAAACAAAAACTTATTAAAATGAACATGATAAAGCTTTCAATTACACTTACCCATCTGTTCGAACAAGCCCTAAGCATTATCTCTGCATGATCCTCCATTGTAGATGTCCAAATCCGAAAAGGGTGTCTACATCCACAAGAGTTTGCATCATCAAATATCTTATTTGTAGATCTTGAGTTGGACATCAACGATTGAGAGGAAGAATAAGAAGTAACTATTACAAGAGATTGAACACAACCGCCATTTGTTTTTCTCTTCTCTAAGCCCTAAATCGATATATAAAGGGGAATTTTAATATGTTTAGTCCATGTCATTAAATATAATGACATGTCATTTGCCAATTAGTTGTATACCTAATGAATCTGGTTGCCTCTAATGAAAATTGAACAAAAGCATAAGTCCGTTGGGTTTTTTTCAACAAATAAAACATGATTGGGTTTTTTTGAACGGTTTTGAAACATCGTTGGTCTTACTAGTCATTTTCCGATATTTAATTACACGTCATCAACCATGTCATTCGTTGACTTTCATTAGCCGGTTGACCCTAAATGAGAAGTGTAAGTTAGTTGGGCTTTTTTAGACAAAAGGTTAAGTTCGTTGAGTTTCCTTGAACTGACAAAATATAATTGAGGTTTTTTGAACGGTTTGAAAACTTCGTTGGGCTTATAATTAATTTTCCCTTACTATGCATGACCTATTGGACTCTATTGAGTAGCTCCACAGCTTCTGGCACAAGGGAACCAAAAATATCAAATGCAAAGGGTATAAACGTGTATTGATTTTCCATGCACGTTTTCTCATGTTTTGCCATATTGTTTGATGCAGCTTTTAAAACAGTTTGCCCCACAACGAAAACTCCACTCTCCAAGCCCACAAGAGGGGAAACCCCTATTATATCCGCGCATGCATGTTTTCCTCCAGCCCATCCAAATACTAAAACATCAGTTGATCTAAGTGTTGATCTTCCTTCAATGGGTCAGTCAGAAAGTTCACAGGTGCCTCTTTCTTGGCAGAAACCCCAGCGCACCTAAATATGTCGAAAAGAACATCCCTAACCAGATCGTGTCGGTACTTGAAACCTGGGAGCTCTTTACAATGAACTGCATGCTCCTCGAAGGAGTCCAAACATGCCTTGCGACAAACAGGGCAAGTCTCGTCAGCCGAAAATAAAGGGATCATAAGGCGATACTTCAGGATGGCACGATACTCCACTGGCGACATATGCTGATCAAGACCGTCAATAGGAATAGTCATAAGAAAATCCTGAGCATGTGGGGCCCTTAGACACTCAAAAATTGCTTTTTGCCTAATCGTCATGTCGAAGTGAACTTCGATGTCTTGGACAATTTTACTAAAAAGATCACTCATCAATGAATGTTGGGCTTTTGGAGGGGCAGTGTCCTTATTAGTGAAACCGTTGAATTCAAAGCCCGGAATCGTATCACGAAGACAGAGCAAAGCACTAACATAATCTGAATCCATACCATATATGCCGCTATTTCGTAATATGTGGTCTTGGAACACCCACGATTGAGCTCGTGAGGCCACAAAAGCATAGGAGGAAGCCTCAACTGCTGAGTACAACCCCAAACCACCAAACCTAATTGGTAACGAAGCCAGTCACCATTGAAGGTCCCCATAGAATAGACCCCCGCAAACCACAATGTCTTCAATCGACCCACGTAACCTTTTATCAAAACACAGAGCAACCTCTTCCATGTGAACGGGTTGGCATGTTCTCAGGCCAAAGAAAAGTTTGGCGACGCCCATGCAAGATCGAAGCAAAAGGAGCTCACTCTGTGGGTCATGTAACTGTGGTAGAAAGCGCATGAAATCAACAGCTTTGACAACCCTCTTCATGGCTAACCCACTAATAAAAATCGCATCTCTATTAGCAGCTCCCCCAAGAAGTTTCACCCCCACTGACGGTTGGCTAATGTCAATAGGGAATAAACCTGACCGAAGCTTCATACCATCTCATGAAGGCCAAAATATGTGACTTCGCTTTTACATCTTAGACCAAAATCAATACCATCAATTCTCTTATTTCGAATTCGTCGATCTCAATACCAGGTCTCGTCCTCATAACATCAAACATAAACAATCATCGATACCCAATCCTTCATTATCAATTGCGAATCAACAACTTGTAAGTTTTTCTTCTCTGTCGATATCAATATTCCTAATCGATCATACACCCAAATCGATTTTGACTGTGGAACCTATGCTCAAAATTCCCAGTTTGTTACCAAACGTTCTTTGACTTTTAAATCAAATAATCAATTCACCCTTCACAATCGATCCTTCACGTACATTCGAAATCAATAGAACATATTTTGACATCCATAAGTCAACTCAGATCGAAATTGCAATTCATCAGCTCGTTCACTCCAAAGTGAACCCAACATCCGATTCCAATGTCATCTTCAAATCGAAAATTTGTATGCTAAAAGCGAAGCCCGATCACACATCAATACTCTTTTGATTCGATCAAAAAACATCCAGTTGAATCTACGTTCGATTTTCAATCGACTCATTCCAAGTATAACAAAATCGAAATCAATTATTGACCCCATATCAAACCAGTCGAATTCCAAAATCAATTTCAATCACAAATTCGAACCATCATCAAGGTTGGAGAACTCGCTACTCGGCACCTGCTCGGCCGAGGGGGGAGTAGCGAGTACTCGGATGACTCGGAGAGTACTCGGATATGGTAAATCATGTAAAAAAAATATTTTAAAGGAAATTATACATGTCAAATATCATAATTTTAAATATTAGTTGATTGAAATTCATTACAAAATTAGGTGAAATATCAACAAAAGATACATTTTGAAATGTTAAATAGTTTCAAAAATAGACACCATTCTTTAATATTACTTATTTAGATTAATCATTTAATCTTCCTCTTCCAATGTAGCTCCAATTTGTTCGTTGATGTTAACTCCATCCGATTCATATTCAACATCTTCATTTAGTTCTTCTTCATCATCCGACACAAATTCTTCCTCATCAAGTTCTCTTAATCTAGAACTTCTACGATTTTGTAGAAACTCCTCGTCACCGATAGCTTCATCGGGCTCACCTTCATCCAACAATACATCATTTTCGACAATCCATTCTTGAGCCTCACTTGCATCTTTTGCTAAAAGTACCTCCATATCCTTAGTCTTTCTTTTCTTGTTATTTTCCATCAAATTTGCATTAAATTGAACAAAAACAAGATTGTTCAATTTTGATGCCTCTAATCTATTTCTCTTCTTTGTATGTACCTACAAATTTAAATAAGCAAAAGAAAAAGTTTGATAAATATACAAGTTTTGAATAAACTACTTAAAAATTATAATTAAATTTAGTAAACTACCAACCCCTTCAAAAGTGCTCCAATTTCTTTCACACCCCGAAGAACTAGTTGTTAAAGAAAGTATCCTTGTAGCAATCTTTCTCAATTGTGGAGTTGATGCACCATAAGCTACCCACCAATTCGCTACAAGTTGAAAAAAAAAACATTGTTAAATTTATTATTTTGGAATTTTATAAAATAAATACAATTTAAAAATATATTACCCGGATCAAATTTGTCGTTGTTCACCTCACATCCTTTAATTGCAATTTCTCGACTAAATTTTTCTTGTTTACCCATGTAAACCGGCAACTCAACCATCACGATATGGTTTTGCAAAGAATGATCTACCGGATATATTGTATCGACAAAATCAACAAGCGCATCGGTCACATCAATATCATTTTGGATCTCCAGATTCTTATAAAGATAATACGGATTTAAAAGGTAAGCCGTCAAATGTAAGGTTGTATCAAGCCTTCCTTTCATCTTTTTCGAAATGATATCCATAATAGGCTCATATGTTTTTTTATTGTTGCCCAAAGCATTAATAATTTCTTGTTTCGCATTTTGAATCTCACCATATACAAAACCCATTGATGGCTTTCGATCCGCATCAACCATCCGAAGAACTTTTACCAAAGGCGCAAAAACCTTTAAACATAATGCTACACCGGTCCAAAATGTGGCATTTACCACCGTGTCATATGCGGCTTTCCCTTTAACGGTGTTGCTAAGTCTACATGATTCCCATTCATCGCTTGTAAACATTTGTTTTAGTTGGGCCTTTTTATCGGCCAAACTTTGCAAAGTAAGAAATGCGGAAGCAAATCTCGTGACTCCCGGTCGCACAATATCTCTTTTCTTGGTAAAGTGTCTCATCATGGCCAAAGTTTTATGATGATCATAAATAAACACCGTGAGTGTTTTTGCATGGTTGAGAATTTTCTTATACCTAGGTAGCCCGCCAATACCTTTTAAAATAAATAAAACGTTAATTATATTATTAAAAATTAAGAAATAACACTAAATTATAAACTTAGCACAATTAAAATGAATACCTTCAAGCATAAGATTGAGGGTATGTGTTGCACAATATGTCCAAAAAATAGTTGGTCTTTTTTCCTTTAAGAACTTGGCCGCTCCCATATTATTTGATGCATTGTCGGTCACAATTTGAACCACATTCTCGGGGCCAACTTCATTGATACAACTTTCAACATATTCATGTATGTGTTCACTTGTGTGAGCTTCATCCGATGATTCTTTAGATGACAAAAAAACGGTCACCATCTTTGAATTAACACATAAGTTCATGATGCTCCTTCTCTTTCTATCGAACCATGCGTCCGTCATAATCGAGCATCCATTAGATTTCCATTCGTCTTTGTATGGGGTCAACAAATTTATTGTTCTTTCTACTTCTTTCTTTAAATATGTTTCTCCCATCTCATATCTAGTTGGAGGTGGTGCCCCACGTCCAAATTGGCCAACCGCCTCCAACATAATTTTGAAGCTATCCTTTTCAAAGGCATGAAAAGGAATGGCACATTCATAGGCCCATCTACAAATATATTCTTTCACATGAATCATGTGTTCCTTACGAATAACATTTGACATATTTTCTTATTTGCTCTTTCCCATGTTTGAAACATCTTGAGGGTTGATAGTGTTTGGAAACCGATCCATAGGCCCAAAAGAACGTTTAGCCTTCTTAGAGCCAAATGAATCTTCTATCAAATCATCATCGATGGTAATGGTTTCATTCTCACTACTTCTAATATTCACTTGTGCTCTTAAAGACTCATTTTCATCTACCTTCCCTTTTTTTATTTTGGTTATCAAGAAGAGCATCTCTACATTTTATTTGGTCATGTTTTGTGGCCTTTGGGCATGAAGAAACATTTCCCTTAATTTGTGCAATATGTTGTTTTAGTCTATTGATTCCCCCGCCCATCTCTTTATTACATAAAATGCATTTCACTCGCTCTAATTTATTAGGATTCACACACACTGCATATTCCCATCCAGGATCATTTGATTTGCGTTTAACATTCTCTTGAGTTGCAGTTGATCCAGTAGACGGGGTTGTGGTTGATGTCATTACTTCAGTTAGAAATCTATCTAACACAAAGTGAGTTAGTGAGTCTAAAACACATACATTGTTTCAGAAAATAGAAAACAAGAAAAACAGTAAACAGAAAACAGGGAAAAAATACATACAAACTGTGAAACTAATATTGGAAATTTGAATTCCGAAATACATTCAAATATATAAAGTCACGTAAAGTGATAAAATAGAATAGCATACATATTACACAGAAAACAGGAAAAAAAATACGTACAAAGTTACAAACTGTGAAATCTGAGTTCTGAAACAGGGATAATAAAATACATATCCACTGCCTCTTGTTTGTAGTTAATTACCTCAGTCTCTACTCTGGACCTCTGGTAAAGAAATCAAATACACTAAATACAGACATTGAATCACTGATACACCTGTGTCCTGTAAAGAAATCAAGAAATAGATACACTGATACAAACCAAGTAGGACATGTAACATATATTATTGGGTTGATTTTACAGATGTTTGGAAGAAGGGGCAGAAGATTATCTACTGAAACCAGTAAAACTATCGGATGTTAGGCGATTGAAAGATTCTATATTGAAAAGTGAAGGAGATGATGAATTCAAACAGATTGAATCACAAAAGAGGAAAAGAAACAGCCGAACAGGGACAAAATTCTTGATGAAATACATACTCCCACTGTAACAGTAGGACATTGTGGGAGTTCTTAAATAAATAAAAAAACGAGATCAATCCGAAATCGACAGTGAGATAGATTAACAGACTAACAGTACACTATCCGAAAAAAACGAGCTCAAATGTGAAATACATACGGTTATACCAAATCAAATAAAAAAACCAAGTTCTTGAAGAAGAAATCCAAAATCGACATAGAGAGATACGGTAAGAGTTAAGAGAAAAAACCTTGATCGCTAGTAAGGATCTCTTCAGTCTACAATCGATCTCTGTCGCTGGTAGTATCACGACTCAGGAAGACAGGAACACATTATTGCTAGTCGAACTGTAGAAAAGAACCTTGATCGCTGCTGCTGGTGGCTGGTAGTATTCGATTCGCTAGAAGAAGAGAAAGACGAGAGAGAGAGAGCACAGCAGATCGAATTCTCATAGAAAAGAGGGGGAACCAAATTTGGGAATACCGCCTGTTTTTTAGGTTTTATGGTAATTGTTTTAAAGTCAAAAATAAGTTTTATGATTTTGTCAATTTTGCCCTCATTGACCGAATTTGACTTTGTTGACCGATTTTGACTTGTTGACCGAGTATCCCGAGTTGGAGCGAGGTTGACCAAGTTTGAGCAAGGTTGACCGAGGTTGACCGAGTTTTGACCGATTTTGAGTTAGTCCGATTTTTTTCCCCGAGTTGACACTACTCCCCTCAGTAGAGGCCCGATTCCGAGTACTCGGTCGAGTAGTCCGATTTTTGCAACACTGACCATCATCAAGTAATTCCAGTCGACATTTGATTCTCGATTCTAAACCAAATTAGTCACACAGTGAATCAACTCACAAAACGATTTTGACTTTTTAGTTTGAATTTTAGAATTATACTTCAAGAACTGATTTGAGCAGCCTATAACAGATTTGATCAACCATTGATCCAATCATTAAGCAAGGAGAATCAATATCATCATTCAAATCGATTTCGAGTATCAAAAACTCATATTAGAATTGAATTCGTAAGATATGATCACGAAAAAGGAAGAAAAAAAATTGGATTGAATCATCAATAATTCGATTCTCGATGTTCTATGAGAGTACAAATCAATTTGAGATTTGATTTTAACTCTAGTTAAAATTGAATATCGATTCGTGATCAAAGACTTATTGAATCATCTTTCGACTTCAACAATCGTTTCCAGGTTCTTATTTTGACCGTCGAACACTAACATTGAAACACCTAATTTGGGCTTATAAAAAATATAAACTGATTCTTATTTTGATTCTGGCTTTCAAACTAAACAAAATAAAATTCATGATTTGGGATCAAAAATTTGTTTTCAAGAAAAATGTTTAATCAAATGATTTTGAATTTGGTTTGGGCTTGATCAATGGAAGAAAATAGATTTGATCTACAATTGGGCTTGAAACAAATTCGATCCAACCAAGACAAAACGATCAAAAATGAAAAACATAAAGCACGAATTGTATTTATGAATGTTTGGAATCCATTTGAGAATTTGAGATGCCTTTTTTATGAATCGAGTTCCATTTTCAACGAACGAATCAAATTTAAAAGATCTTGGTTCTTTTGTTGGAATGAGAAAATCTCCAAATCGAACATTGAACCACCCATTATGCATGACGTACAACTTGTTCTTCATGTTCTTCAACGATCCAAGAACATCTTCAAAATAACCACCAACACTTTTGGGTTTTGACTTCAAATTCAATGAAACCTTTGGAACCCAAATTTGCTTCATGGATTTAGACTTCACAACATTTGAAGATTTTTGTGAGTAAACCTGCTTGTTTTTCCGATTAATCTTCTTCTTCTTTTTCTTTCTCATCTTTTTGCATCTTGAAGACTTGACTTCATGAACAAACCCACTTTCTACAACATCAACATTGTGAATTTGAATCAAATCTTTTGGAGTTTGATACTTGTTAATTTCTTGAATCACCGGCTTCCGATAAGGAATCATTCCTTCAAACGAATCACAAGAACACAAAATATCATCGGTTTGAACTCCAATTGAGCAAAAAACTTTTTCATCGTGAGAATCAACTTGAACTCCTTTTTATTGAACATCAAGAACATCACATTGAACACCATTGTATTGAACTTCTTTTCCTTGAACATCATGAACATCAAGAACATGTTCTTGATCTTCACGACAATTTGCAAAATATTCAAGTCTATTTCTTCCCGGTTTACAATTAGAAAGAAAAATTCCTTTTATGACTTCACCATTTCTCTTATTTCTTCGTCTTTCTTGATACGTTGTAATCAATCGATCAAACAAATCTTTATTTTGATAAATTGGATAACCAATGAATTCTCCCTTTTCATTCCATTCTCCATTTGAAATAAGTTCGCCTTCACTTTGCAATTCATCAGTCATTCGATAAAGAATGCATTCAAAAGAAGTGTATTCGTATAGAAAAATTTTATTCCGAATCAACCGTTTCTCCGTGATTGCTTCTTTTCTTTTGAATCAAATGATATGAACTTGGGTTTTCTAGAGAGGGAAAGTGGTGCAAACAAATATTCCAAAGAGAGAAAATCAAATTATGGATCAAATCAAGGAAAATTTCGTTTTCTAGAACAAAAAAAACTCTCTAAACACGAAGATCAATAAGAACATGAAGAATCACCAAATCAAGATAGCCATGAAGGATCAATTCTTGATCCAATCAAGAACACCTGCTCTGATACCAATTATAGTGGTGTTGATTATGATGACATGAGCGTAATTAGAAAAGATCTAGTGAATCATCATACAAAATCAAGAACACATGAAGTGAATAAATCTTTGTAAGCTCGTATTAGATCTAGAAAGGATATAAAAATGGGTTTGTACAAAATTTCTCTCTCTAGTATAACACTCCAAATGGTTCCCTTACATAAAATGAATGCCACTCACTTCCTTATAAAGAAAAGACAACTCATTACACATACTAGTGGGTAAAACCTCATCCAAGTGTGACTTTGCACCCTAACAGAGATCCAATTATTTAGTTGAGAGGATCAAATATTGTTCAAGTGCAGTTAGAGAACTTGGTATGGAGACCTGCAGTACGGATGCATGAGACCGTGGTTATTAGTGATCGAGGCGAGGTACAAATCGGATATGTGTTGTACGTGTTCAGGGAAGGAGGGGTGTTTCTACGACGAGTAGTCATTGGTCAAGGACCCTAGAGTGGTTAGAAACTCTTCGAGGTTGTAATGGTGGAATTCGAGGTGGTTGGCTCGTGGGGATAGTTTTGGTGGTTGAGAATTTCTAATTCGATGTATGGATTGTTATGTTCACTTTAGGAAGGGAAGAAGTTGATTGGGCAACCAACTTTAGAGTTGATATGAGTATTCTTGCAGTGGTTTTGAGCAACAAAAGAGGGAGTTTCGGATTTTCGTTAACATGTTCTGAGTCATTTAACGATTCCTCTGTGTTTCCAATTGAGAGTTAGAGTTTTTCGAAGTTATGAGTTGTGCGAGAGGAAGATCAGTTGTGAGATTTTGAGTGGGTGCATTGCGGTATTTGAGTATGATGCCATGAGTAGGAGATTAGTGGTTGAGGGTATACATCGTGAGGTTCTGTGATGGTGTAACGAGGTATCTGGGTATGATGCCCTAAGTTTCAATATATTTTGACACTTGAGTTATGATATGTCAAGTGGTGTAACAAGTGTTTATGGTTCCAGTGGGAGCCCTTCAGTTAACTTCCATCAGCGGGATTATCTGAGAATGTGAATTGCAGCAAGAAAAAGTGTTTTGTCACGTCGGTGGTCGTCAGGATTAGTGATGCTTAATCTGGGTGGGTGTGTACCTATCTATTTTGGGCCGCGAAGCATGAGTTAGTGAACGCAATGAGGTGAT